GAGGGCAGTGTCACTGGCCCTCATATGTGGGATCCGAACCGGGGCCCTCTGGCATCCCAAGCCAGTTCTTAACCAACGTACCACTCAGCCGGCCCAAATGAGTGCTGTTTTGATGGATGGAGTAAGGTGTTCAAAAGAGGGGTGAAAGCAAGTCACTGCCGCTTCTCCTGGCAGACTTATTTACAGCAAAAGGTCTTCTACCTTAACGATTTTTAGTGACAGTATGGTATTCGCCCAGCCGCGTCATGTTTTCCATGCTTTTTGAGTGTGCTTTTACAGAGCACAACACAGTAATGATCATCTTTGTAGATAAATCTCATATACATTTTAAATTTTCATGGGATAGTTGGAACCTGCGGTTAAAGTTTACCTACATTACCAAACAAGGCTCTTGGTGCAGCTTCACAGGTTATTCTCTGCTCTGTTCTTACCTTTAACCAGGTACCAGCTGGAAGATGAGTCTGCCCATTTGGATGAAATGCCACTAATGATGTCTGAAGAAGGCTTTGAGAACGAAGAAAGTGATTACCACACATTACCACGAGCTAGGATCACGCGGAGAAGGCGCGGGCTGGAGTGGTTCGTCTGCGGAGGGTGGAAGTTCCTCTGTACCAGGTCTGTCACCCACTGTGGCCCGATTTCCTGCACACTGAGGTTCCATCGTTAAGCTACTCACAAGCTTAGCCACTAACATTTATTTTTATATCAAACTAAAGAAGGTACTCTAAATGATATATGGAGAGTATTAATAACACGAGTCAAAACCAAGCAGTGCTAATCTGAAAGGGACAGAAAACCAAATTCACTTTTCTTTGAGACATTTTAATGTTTGAAAGATGGACAGAAAAAAAAAAGATGGACAGAACTTGTGATTTTGTAATTAATGCATGGTAAAATTAATTCTGGCCCCCATATCAACATTTATAAACTGTGTTCCTTTCTCTTCCATCAACAATTGTACTCTCATCCCAAAAGATCAAAATGGACCTGTAAAATGCAATTTAATTACCCTGTAGCTCTGTGTATTAGTTGACTTTCATACTTTGTCTTGGAATAAGATTTTCTGTTAATTTAACCAGGAAGAAATGAAGATAAGAACTTCTTGTATTTTAAATAAGTTCGCTAGTGGTTGAGCTAAACTGATGTGTGTGCTGTGTATTAGATCTGTTCACCTGTGACATGAGAGTTTGGTATGTGAAAGCCCGCGGTACATCCAGGACACTTTGCCACTGACTGTCCTGCTAGCTCCAGGGATAGGCAGGACAGGATGGCAGCCAACCAGTGCCTTCAGGACTCGAGCGGAGCATGTCAAATAAGTTACAGCTTTTGCAGTCTGTCTGTTGTCCAAGGTTTGTGGTCAGTTCCTTTGTTACTATCATGAACTTACATCCCTTTGTCCATAAAGGAATGTAAATAATTGTAGGAAAATACCTGTTCACCATCCTTCTTGTTACTCCGCTAGAAGTTGGCCAAAAGATGTTTTCATAACTAATTTGACCTCGGGGTCAGCTCATGAAGTGGTGTTCAAACTGTACCCCGGAGACTCCCAGGGACTCTGAGGGGTCCCTTGGGTGTAGGTAGCATAAGACCCGGTGGGGAGGTAAGCAGGGTTTAGGCTGTCACCGCCTTTCAGTGTCCAGTCAGTGCGGTCTCTGCCTCACTTGTGTGTTGCAAGCTTTTCACGTGAAGGAGGGATTTCATGTCTAAAACAGCATTTTAGAAATCACTGACCTGTGATACTAGTTTAGTAATAAGTGTCCGTGGCTTTTAAAAACAGGTTTTCTAGGTTAAATAGCCAGTATTCTTGGCGGGTTCCTTGTGGGTACACACTCGATGTTAGGGTTAATTTCTTCAGTAGAGGGAAGGTCATGCAGACTTGTTAGTTTTGTTTTTCTGGTGCTGCTTAGTGCTTTTCAAGGCCTTTATCTATTTTCAAATTTATATTTAACTTCCTGCGATGTAGCTAATGTGTGAGGCTCTGTAAGGACATCACCTTTTATATTCCTGATACCGGTCATTTGTCTCTCTCCCTTTTCTTCATTAATCTTAATAGGAAATTGTCAGTTTCACTCTTTTAGAACTTTTGGTGCTGTCTTTGCTTTTGAAATTTTAAACTCTTATCTTGAAATAAGTTCACTTTTATCTAAAATAAATTCCAACTCACAGGGAAGTTGCAAGAATAGTATAGAGAATTCATATATGGGTTTACCCAGATTCACCAATTTTTAATATTTTGCCACATATTATCATTCTTTTTATATCTTATTAATATTTTGAGTCACTTCAGACTAGATTGCTTACTTCATTCCCCTTTGCATCTTAATACTTGAGTGTGTATTTCTTAGGGAAGGTGCTTTCTTGCATAACCATCCTAGAGTGACCGACATCAGGACTCCTTTAACATCGGCGCCCCCTTCCCACCTGCTCCAAGCCCACATTCCAGCTCCGCTTGTTGTCCCGGCCGCATCCTCACATCCTCGTAGCACCTGTGCTCTGTCTAGTGCTGCTTGTGGTTCAGAGGCGGGGTGTCTGGGAGCAGCCTGTTGTGCCTCCTTTAACCTGGACTCTCTCTTAGCATTACTTTGTCCTTCATCTCATGGATGTTTTTGAGGTCAGCAGACAGGTATTTTATACACGTTTCCAGTGCTGGTTTGTGTGATGTTTCCTTGGATTGGATTCGGCGAAACCCTCTGGGAAAAAGCGTGTGAGCGACGCTGTTCTAGGATGTTTGCTTCCTGCCTCACTGACTTCGGGCCTTCCTTTTAGTTCCTCTCATACGTTCTCTGGGTTTAATTTGCTGTTCTTTTTCTTGCTTCCTAAGATGAATCCTGAATCGCCAGTATTGTACTCTTTTCCTTTTTAAAAACAGATGCATGTAAGTTTTGATACATGATATTTTCATTATTGCTCAGCTCAGAATACTTTCTAATTTCCTTTGTCATTCCTGCTTTAGTCCATATTCAATTTAGAACTATGCTGCTTAATTTCCAAATAGTTGGGGATTTTCCTAGTTATCTTTTCATAATTGATTTTTATTTATAATTGCACTGTGGCCAGAGAGCATACTTATAACTTTTTAAATGTCAGTCTTTGTAATGTATTGAGACTTGCTTTATGATTTATCATATGGACAACAGTAGTAAGTTTTCTCTGTGTGTTTGAAAATGATTTGTAGTTTGGCTGTCGAGTGTATTGCTCTGTGTGTCAATGAGTCACACTTGTTCCTTGTCCAGCTGTAATCATCTGTGTCCATGTTCAGAGTTTGCGTCTTTATTTTATCAGTTATTGAGAGACTCACAAATCTCCAAACATTATTGTGGATGTGTCTCCTTTAAATTATGTCAGTTTTTTCTTTGTATATTTTTACAGGATATTATTAGATGATGCAAATTTAGGATGATTAACTCCCTATTGGGTTAGCTTTTTATTGTCATTTAACGTCTGTCTTTAGCTCTAATAATATTTCTTCTGTGAAGGCTTATGATGTCTAAATTCACTAAAATGATACCTGCTTTCTTTGGTTAGTGTTTGCATGGTATATCATTTTCATCCTCTTATTTTTTGTTTGTTTGTTTAAAGATTTTATTGGGGCATCAGGGAAGGGGAACAGACAAGTTGCTGTCCCTTTGCTCTTCAGTCCAGCTGTGGAGGACGTCGCCTCACTGGCCCATGTTGGCATCATCATTGCGCTCTTCCTGGGTGAGACAGTCGCCCACCGGCCATTGGACGGCCACCCACGGCGGCCCATGGCAGCTCACGCCGGCTGCCAGCCACACACGGTAGCTTATGGCAGCCCACTGCAGCAGGGGCTGCAGCCTATGCCATCGCCGGCGACTCACGGCAGCCCAGCTCCAGGTCGAGCCACTGTCCACCATCCTAGTTGCAGAGGGCGCAGTGTCACCGGCCCTCACGTGGAATCCGAACCAGGGCCCTGCTGCTCAGAGCCAACGTCCCAAGCCAATTCCCAACCAGTGCGCCACTTGGCCGGCCCCATCCTCTTATTTTTAAGAACTATCGTTTTGAAATAATTATAGAGTCACAGGGCATTGCAAAGATAGTTCAGAGTCTTTTGCCCAGTTTCCCCCAGTGGTTACCTCTTAAATAACTGTAGTGTAATATCAGACCAGGAAGTTGATGTTGGTATGAAGTTTTTTGTAGTTTACCTTCATTCATCACGTGTAGATTTGCGGAACCACCATTGTCATTGAGACACAGAACTGTGCCGTCACCACAAGGACCTCCTTCATGCTGCTGCTTGTAGTCCTGTTCTCTCCCTACCCGGTCGCTGACCCGGCACCCACTCGTCAGCTCCTATCTCTGTATTTTAATCTAGAGAATGCCATGTAACTGAAACCGTTCCATACGTGATTTTTTGATATTGGCCTATTTCATTCAACAGTGTCCTTGAGATCCATTCAAGTTGTATCAATAGTTTGTTCCTTTTTATTGCTGGCTGGTATTCCATTATGGGAGTGAATGTTACTGTTTGCCTGTTGCAGGATGTTTAGGGGGTTTCCAGCTCTGGATGTCACCAGTGAAGTCGCTGTGTACCATGATGTACGGATTTTTTGTGTGGACACGCTTTGATTTCTCTGGGCTCAATGGCCAGCACAGTTGCTGGTTGTATGATAAGTATATGTTTAGTTTTTTAAGAAACTGCCAAGCTAGTTCCTAGGGTAGCTGCACCATTTTACATTCCCACCAGGAGTGTATGAAAGCCAGTATCTCCTCATCCTTGTCAGTATTTTTTTAATTGTAGCTGTTATTATTAATATAGTAAGTGCAGTCATGGCTTGCTGTGGTCTTAATTGGCATTTCCAAATGATCACAAGATTAAACATCTTATTTGACACTCACGTGTATTCTTCAGTAAATATCTCTTCATGTCCATTCTAATTTTTAATTGATTGTTTTTCTCTGTTGAGTTTTGAAAACTCTTCATATGTTTTGCCTTTAAGTCCTCTGTCAGGCAGGTAGTTTCCAAGTATTTTCTTCCGTACTGTAGCTTACCTTTCATCCTCTCGAAGAGTTTTTCACAGATCTAAGGTCTTTCGTCTTGATGAAGTCCACTTAATTGCTTTTTTCTTTTGAGGATTGTGCCTTTGGTCTTTGATAGGATTTTGTTTTTACCAAATGGAACATAGGTATATTTTGGATTTCACTGGCAATCTATTCCTTTTCTTAAGGAAAATATTAAGAATATATTTGAAAATATAGATGTTAGCGAAAGCAGGCATTTCGGGTGGGACGTTAAAACAGCTCAATCAAATATACTAGACGTGTGAATAAAGTCTTAATAAGTTGTGATCCTGTGGAGAAGCCAACTGAACCACTGGGGCAGGTGTGATCAGCCTGTATGGCCTGCAGGAATGTCTTCTGGCAAATGGAATGAGAAGTGACCTGGGATATCATCACACTCTTCTTGTTCGGGAGGCACCTGCTACCCTGAGAAGTGGTTATGAAATTAAAAACTGGACCTTACAGAGTAAATTGTACATTTAGCAACTTAGATTGGTCTTCTTTTCTTTTTTTTTCTTGACAAATTTTCAGTTTTGAATATTTGCTGCTTTTTAATATCCTAGATACCAGGCATTATACAATTTGGTGTCACTACCATTATTAGGTGAAAAATCAAAGAGAAGATAAAGATACATAAAATTAATTAGTTTAGTTGTAGGAGGAAAATGTTGGTGAACATTGGAATGAAAGTAGATAGCATAATTAGTGAGTTGTAACTATTTCAGTGTATCTCTATTTGTGAATTCTGTGAGTAGTAAGGCTTACTTTAAAATTCTTCAGGGAGTGAGTAGGCTTTCATTTCTTCTGGTTTAAGAAATGCTTTCTCACTATTTGGAAAAATTCCAACTCTGACACATGAAAACCTTTTTCTGTCATCTGTCTTCTGAAACTCTGAATGTCCTTCTGGGGTGCACATCACTACGAATCGTTCTCTGGTGGGGGTGGGGGTGTCTTTCTCACAAGATGTACATTTCACTCTTATCAAAAACCCCTCTGTCCCTAGGAAGGCAGAGTCCCACGTGGCATTTCCATGTGAAGGGGGCATGTAGAGTCAGTGCTGGGGTTAGTGCTGGTTCTAAGTGGTCCCTGCAACTTTCAGTTAATTTGCAACCCATTTTTGGTGCAGAAGCACGGGAAATGCTTATTTTTTTTTTTTAATGTTTATTGGGGTGACAATGGTTAGTAAAGTTACATAGGTTTCAGGTATACTTTCTGTAATTCATCATCTATACATCACATTGTGTGTTCACCACCCAGAGCCAGTTCTCGTTCCATCACCATATATTTGATCCCTTTACCCTCATCTACCACCCCATTCCCCACTTACCTCTGGTAACCACTAAATTATTGTCTGTGTCTATGAGGTTTTGTTTCTTCATATGTCTTGTTCCTTCGTTGTTTTCAGTTTTGTATATCACATATCATTGAAATCATTTGGTTGTCAGCTTTTTCGTCTGACTTATTTCGCTTAGCATAATAATCTCAAGATCCATTCATGTTGTCCCAAATGGCAGTATTTCATCTTTTCTTATGGCAGAGTAGTATTCCATTGTGTATATATACCACACTTTCTTTATCCAGTCACCTATCGAAGGGCACTTTGGTTATTTCCATGTCTTGGCCACTGTAAATAAAGCTGCAGTGAGCATCAGAGTACATATGTCTTTACAAATACATGTTTTCAGAGTTTTTTTGGTAGATACCCAGGAGAGGGATTGCTGGGTCATATGGGAATTCTATTCTTAATTTTTTGAGGAACCTCCACACTGCCTTCCACAGTGGGTGTACCAGCCTGCATTCCCACCAACTGTATTAGAGTTACTTTTTTTCCACAGCCTCTCCAACACTTGTTATTGTCTTGTTGAGGACAGCCATTGTAACTAGTGTGAGGTGATATTTCATTGTGGTTTTTATTTGCATTTCTCTGATGATTAGTGAGGTGTTGGCAGAAAAACAGACACACAGACCAATGGAATAGAATTGAGAACCCAGAAATAAACCCACATAAATATGGACATATAATTTTCTACAAAGAAACCAAAAATATACAATGGAGAAAATGGTGCTGGGAGAATTGGAAAGCCATGTGCAAAAGAATGAAACTAGATTGCTGTTTCACTCAGCAATCTAGTGTGACATGTACGTATAGCTCATGTGACATGTAGATGGTAGGGTTTGTGTGCCCCAGGAGGACATGCTGTAACTAGATGATAAGTTGGCCCTTTAGAGCTGCTGCTGGGAAAAACCAGGAAGGAGCAGTGCTGACCCTTCCTGTGGGGTCATGATGTGGGACAGGACGCTAGTAAGCAGGAGGGTTTGGCCTGGGTGTGCTAAGGTGTGTTGGGCCACAGGGGAAGAATCCTTGTGCGGGATCTGGGCCATCCAGTAAAAGCCAGAAGGTGAGACATGCTCATTTAAAGCCTCTTGCCTGTGAAGCTTTATTTAACTCAAGCATAAATGAGATAAATATTACCAGTAGTCCCCTCCCACCAAAAAACAGTAAAGGTGGGGACACTTATTTTGGCCAGCTGATATGTAACTGTTGGTGATTCGTAAGTTCGCTTTATGTGTGGAGATGCTCTCTGTCCTGATTCACTTCTGCAGAGTGATGGCAGGCAGGGATAAGAGAGGTCTGTGCTTGCAGAGTTGGGTCTTCCCTTGTCTGCTCCAGGTGAAGCAGGAAGGGGCAGGGGGATTTGAGAGCGGACTGTGCTGGGCCCTTGGCCTTCACTGGCCCAGCAGCGCAGGAAGCCCATGAAGAGAGCTGGGCTCCGGCGGGCGGACGAGCCCTGTCCTTCCAGACTGGAGATTGCCTGAGCACAGCCAAGAACAAGGCGGGTGGATGTTCTAGGCTGTGACTGCCAGTAGGGAGACACTGACTTCAGGGTAAGCACACGTGTAGTCCCTCCTGTAGGGGGTGCCACCATGAAGACCTCTAGCAGGATGCTTCTAGGTTTTCAGCCTCTTATTCGAAAGAATGATGTCAGTGGGACTGAAGTGAAGACGTGGTGCCTGCTAGGGCGACTTGCAGTGACTTTAAGATACCCACCCTATGTGTCAACCTCAGTTATAATCAGTCACACCTTCTAAGGCTGTCATTGCCATGCAAATTTCACGTTAGCTTTTGAAGTTTCCTTTGTCACTAGTGAAGTGTCCAACTTCTGTCCTATCCTGCTGCTTGCTGTTCCAACCCTGGCATTTAGAAGAGGAGGTTGGACAACATCCCTTAATAAACTCTTCTGAGTCTTTATGTTGTGGAAATTTGAGTTAAATCGAATTGTCACTACTGAAGTTTAAATTCCTTATTATTTTATTCTGAATAGAGATGAATTTGTTACCTTTTCATCATTTTCTGAATGATGAAAATTAAGTTCGCAGTATGACAGTTAAAGTTTGCAAACTGATCCTAGAAAAAGTGCTACGTACAACATTGCTGAATCACTACGGTCACCTTCAAAGTGCTCCTCTTGGCTGAGGGTTGTTAGTTGGGAGGGGGTGGGGATGAAGGAGAGGGGAAGGGATGAGACAATACAAATTGGTAATTGTAATATGGCCTCAGGGATAGA